GTAATTTTGGGGGGAATTTATTGATCAAACACGATTTTTCTCAAAAGTATTTTCCAAAAAAGTAATTTTGAAAAAAAAAACTCATTCATATCATTAATTATTTGATTGTCCTACGACGATAAATAATAATGGCTTAAGTCATCTCTAGCCACTTAAAGTTGTCCGCATATTTCATTTAGACACCTTATCTTAGGTTTGTTCCAATTGAACACTTTTTTTTTGACAATCAACTAAAAGTAAAGATAGTGTGTCATACACTCGCGGCTGACGTGGCATAGTAGCTAATCAAAAAGAGACATATGGCATTGGGCCCATAAAAAACAGTTAAACATAGATTAAAAAAATAAAATAAACAAAAACTATTTTTTCAGTAAAAAAATAATAATTAAAAAAACAAACAAATCTTTCTTTCCCCTTTTCTTCTTCTTCTACCCAGAACACCCCACCCACCCCATGATGTCCGTTCCCCATTTTCTATATCAAAAGAGACAAAATCAAAGCACATTTCGATAGCCATTTGCAATTCAGCTTTTTTTCTTTCAATTCGAAATTATATGATTTTTTTTTCCACCTACCCCTCTCCTTGAATCTTATTCAACATTGTAAATGATATTTCTCCCAATCTCACTACTTTCTTAAACATTAATTTAGATTTGTTAATACTTTTTTTCTTCTATGTTGTGAGTTTTTTAGGATTTAAATTTTTTAACGATTTCGAAGAAAATAATTTCAGATTCGTCGAAAAAAATGGAGTTCCTTCAAAATTATTTTTGATGCAATTTGATTCTATTTTTGACGATAATAAATTTAGATATTGGTGGTGTAAGTGGTGGGTGGTGAAAGAAGGGGAAGAAAACGATGGCTTGGAAAATAAAAGGGGAAGAAGATGACCGGAGAAAGAATGGCGATGGCGGAAAGTTGGTGGCAATGGTGGTTGAGTTGAGTCAAAGAAGAAGAGGAGATGTTACTTTAATTTTTTTCTAAAAAATCTTTTTTTAAAAAGTAAATGATGTCTTCCACGCTCTTTTGGTGTGTGTATTACACACATGCTGCCATGTCAGCAAAAAATGTTTAATAGGTACAAGTTTATTGTAGTATAGGTGTTCAATAGGTAAAAGGTTAAATTGGAGTGGCTAAATGAAATATGAGGACAACTTTAAGGGTCCGTATATGACTTAAGCCAATAATAATCATATTCGATGAAAACATCATACATGTGATATGGTCCATCTATCATTATTAAGCAGAGAAAACAAGATTTTCCTTTGCATACATGTGATGTGGTTCATCTATCACCAAATTTTTACAAAGATATTTGTTATTGATAAACGTAGGGTATTAATTATGTAAAGATTTAATTATTAATGTACTTATTATTTCAATGTACTCTGCTAAAAAAATATATATAAATTTACTCATAATCTATATCTATCAATATTAATTAAGATAATTTTACTAAATAATTGATTTACTTCCTAACCAATTAAATAAATTCATTAAAGAAGAAATTAACGTTAATTAGTAATATCACTAGACAAAAGTCATCGTCTCAATATATTGGTGGGTAGCACACCATTCAAACACTAAAATATCTTCCCACTTTATAGGGATCCTTTCTTTCTCTATTCTTATAATTAGGGTTGCCGTTCCGTATTCTTTCGGGATTCTCAAATTTTGAATTTGATAATTCGGTAATTGATAGTTAAAATTTGATACTAAATATCAAAATTTTAAATTTCGTAATTCGATAATTCGTAAATTAACTTTAGTTCAGTACGGTATTCGGTAACACTTGTAGCCGATTGTATTACAAAGTTAATACTCTTTCTCCAATTATTTCTATTTTTTATGTGAAGACACGATATAATAGAAAATCAACAAGTAAGAAGACATTAAAAAAACAAATTGATACAACTAAAAGACATGTGATTTTGAGTTGTTTATGTATATTATTTAACTTTCTCTTTGAACTTATACTAATTAGCAATGAACATCTTAATATATGACCTTTATTAAGTAAATAATCCGGTATTCAGGAAATACCGAATATCAAATGGTACTAATATCTCATACAAAATCCAAACCCGAATACCATAATTCTAACATATTACTCCTGAATATCATACCAAATACCAATAATTACCGCATACTAAATTATCAAGTATTTCGATTCGATTCGAAAATTTGATTTTTGATATTTTATGTCGTCCAGCCCTACTCATAATTTCTTTGATTGTCATGCCACAATAATTATACTCGATGATAACACAGGCATGTGATGTGGTCTATCTATTACACTAGATTTTACTTTATAGTCATTTTGTTAGTATTAGTTATTGTAGGATACTAGTTAGGTAAGATTTAATTATTGATGTAATTATTATGCTAAATAAAATAATATATGAATTGACTCATAATCTATACCTATCAAATATAAATACATACTGGAATTAATTTCCTTCCTAACGAGCAACTATAAATACTTATTAAAGAAGATCTATTAACCATAAAAATATCACTAGACACAAGCCATTGTCTCAATATATTGGTGGGCATCATACCATTCAAACACTGAAACTTGTTCCCACGTAACAGGGATCTTTCCTTTCTCTATTTTCATAATTTCTTTGATTGTGGTACAACGATAATTATACTCGATGATAACTTCAGGTGTGCTCACCAAAAATCTTGTTGTCTTTTCCTTATCATCCACCACAACACATACAACATTACAAGTACAACGATTCACATCTAGTAAATCAAAATCTTCGCTACGGATAAGTAACATGTAAAGAACTTAGATCAACAGTACTATACTTCACAAACCACTTAGAATAATCAATCTCGCTCCATCTCAACAACTTCAAAACTCATCGAACTAAACCCTTGTACCTCAATAATTAAGATGCAAATGTCCACCAGACTCCCCAAAATACCTTATATTCCTTTTCAACACTCAAATAGGAATGACGGTGCTAGGCATATCTCGAAAACACATAGAATCCAAATCGAACCTTAATTAAGAAAGACGATATTTCACTAACCCAATGCATACAACCATTCAAGTACGTACACACCCTGAGATAAAAAAAATATTGTTGCTTTAATGTACGCGCTGTAGAGTTTCTCCAAACTCTAGTTTCTGATGAATATACATAATATTGATTGTAATCCCCGTCTGATTTCATAATATATACACACAATTTCATAACGATCAGATACCATAGGATCAAAAACCAAATTCATTACCATCACTTCATGATGACTAGGGTTTGTAATTGTACATGGAGGTGGAATCAACCTACGTTGATTTGTACTCGGATTATAATTAAACAAAGTACAATTGATCATTTCCATCACCGGAGCTTCACATGAATGCAAATGTTCAATCTTTGAAGATGTAGTATGCTTCAAAATCATACTCTTTTGTTTTTCGGACATTCCATTGATGGGAATAAAGTCTACGTACTTCTTTTTATATACCCACCAACAAAAGAAGAGTCCGTCAACTTTGAGGGAACTCATTTGTTTTGTCCGGCTATGAAGTAGCCGGAATCTTTGGATTGAGATATGGAATAACCAATCTTTACAGACCGTTTGGAAACAGAGAAGAGATTTTGGAGGTAGACCGAGGAGAATCTCCGTTAAGAGTTCAGTGTTTCCGGTGACTTTGATAACTGATGTTGGGAAATCCATTTGACGGTCACCGGAATTTTCATTTAAGGGAGAAGTTTCCAATTTGGCTTAATGTTTACAAGCCCTTCATTTTCTTTCTATAAATAGTCCTCCTACTTATTATTATTATATAAATCATTTTTGTTGTTAAAACACCCACGTGAATTGTTTCAAGTGAATAACATATCAAAAGACTTGAAATATCGCGAGGACATCATGTTTAAATTTTAGGACTGCTTAGAAGAGATTTGAGTTGGTTGGAATTTGAAAAAAAAAAAATTCATTGAGAAAGATGAACTGTTGCAATATATATAATATTGTATAAACAATATTTATAAATATATATACATCACTGATACATAGTTATATATCACACATATATATATATATATATATAAAATTACATACAATTTATATAATATCGATACATTACATAACTATTTATATAATATTAAATTTTCTTGTCACTTGTGATGCTCACATTGCCACATTTTGTACTTTGTTGGCCAGGCTCATAGCCATACGTAACTCATAAGCCAGACAAAATGATGAACTGCACAATAATATATAGTGGGCCATTGACAACTCAACAATCATGTCTATAGGGTAGCTTGGTACGGCTGAATTTGCAGGAATTATTTATCCTTGGTTGGAAGTTTTAATCCTATTGTTAAATATAATAGGCAAAATTCATCGTGAAGTTGTTGCCAACATTCACTTATGGTGATACCTTAAGTAAATCTTGTTCATTTTAAATACTTCAAGTCGGGTTCCATTGTATCATTTCGACATTTTTTTTTTGCATTAATCAACGAATGGTGAAGTGTTCCTCATGACGAAATGTTGGTCCTGGATAATATAACATTAGGAAGTAACCCTTGTGCCATATTTTCATCGTTGTTATTCACAATTGTTATAAGTTATTTATAAAAAATAAACAAATCAAAGCAAGTGAGTAAGTAGAGCATTGAGTTAAACCATATCATGACTGGTTTGGCCTCACGATGAGTGTTAAGTTATTTATCTGAAAATCGATATAGTTAAAATTGTCACGAGATCAAGAGCACATGATTCTATAGAACTTATTATTTCATTGTTAAACAAGTAAATATGATGTTAGATAAGCTTGTTAAGATCAATAAAGTAATGAAAAAATTAAATGGAAATGGTAAAACTCAAATGTTGTTGGTACAAGGGGAAGAAAAGTTAACTCAATTTTCTCTTCAATATTACATCATGAAACTTGTGTGAATCAAGAAGTGTAAGATTACAATCAAAGCAAATAACTCCCAGAATATGCAGCACACCAAATCATAAAATCATATATATCATCCACCTTGAATTGTCAATGTACAACAAGTCGTTTACACGACAATTACATCCATGGGAAACTAGTAATTTTACAAAACATTTACAAATGAAGAAAGCAACTAGAGATGGAGTCAAACTGCACAAATACAATTCTCTGATGAAGTTTATGCAAAAAACAAGATTTCTTTCCAGCAAATAGACCACAAACATCATAAGCGCGTCTTCAATGATGAGTCAGAGTGACCATGATCACGTCGTTTATATACATGAATATGGTTCATCCATCACCACTTCCTTTCTTTAAGTAAACAAACTTCTATACAAGAAACCATAGCAATATCAAACACGCGCCATTGTCTCAACATATTGATGTGTATCATACCATTCAAACACCGAAACATCTTCCCAGATAACAGGGATCTTTGCTATCTCTATGTCCGCAACCTCCTTGATAGTCATAAGATGAGCATCATATTCAATGATAACATCAGGTGTGGTTACCAAAAACCTTGCTGTATCTTCCTTATCATTGACAACCAAAGATACAACATTGCAAGTACGACCATTCACATCTAGTAAATCAAGTTCTTCACTCAACATTAACGGATAAGTAGTATGCAACGAACTAAGATCAACACGATACTTCACAAACCACTTAGAATAATCAATCTCCATCTCAAGAACTTCAAAACTCATCGACCTTAACCCATGTACCTCAATTAGATGCAAATGTCCACCCGACTCCCCAAAATACCTTATACTCCTTTTCAACACTCCAACAGGAATATCAGTACTAGGCATATCTCTAAAACACATCAAATCCAAATCGAACCTTAAGAAAGACGACATTTCACTAACCCAATGCATACAACCATTCAAGAAAACACCCTGACCTAAACAATGTTGATTCAACATCTCCATCTCCATCTCCATACAATCTCTCCAAACTTCAGTTTCTGATGAATATACAAAAATTTCATATACCCCATTTAATTTCATCACACATACAAGTTTATAACAATCAGATACCATAGGATCAAAAGCCAAATTCATTACAACAATCTCATAAGCTTTTATACCTAAATATGGGAGTGGAATCAATCTATGCTGATTTGTACTAGGATTATAGACATAATAATCAAGATTTTCAATACCCAAATTGAAACTTATACAGAACAACCCATTACAGGAATGTAATTGTTCAATTTTTGATGATGTAGAATTAGCAATATTTTTGAGTGCTGAAGGAATCATACCCCTTTGCTTTTTGGGTATCCCATTGAGAGGGATAAAGTCAACATAGTTATTACCATAGACCCACCAGCAGAAGAATAGTCCGTCAACTTTGCCGGAAGTGAGTTTTCTCCGGCAGTGAAGTTGCCGGAATGTACGGCTTGAGATGATCGAAAACCAGTCTTTACAAACGGCTTGGAATCGGAGAAGGGATTTTGGAGGTAGCCGGAGGAGAATCTCCGACAAAAGATCGGCGTTGCCGGAGACTCCCTGTAAGGATGCCGGAAAATCTGTTGGCTGGTCACCGGAGACTCCCTGTAAGGATGCTGAAAAAACTGCTGGCTGGTCACCAGCGACTCCCTGTGAGGATTCCGGGAAAATTACTGGCTGGTTGCCGGAGAATCCCTGTAAGGATGCCGGAAAATCTGCTGGCTGGTCACCGGAAAGTCCTTGTAAGGATATTTCCGACATTGACCCGTCGGCGTACATGTCGTACCACCTTTCTTTCTATATAAGTAGTAAAATGATAAGGAAGGGGCAAATTGGTTTACGATGGTCCACTTCTATTTGTCATAGTTTTTTTTTTAGAGTCAATTATAAAAATTTAATTAATATTTTATGATGTATTTTCTCATCATATTAATATATATAAAAAAAGTTGTAATTTATTATATTTTTCGTATAATTTTTGAATATATGAATTTTTTATTTAAAATATCAAACTAACGTAATCTAATTTAATTTTGAAAATTAATCAAATCAACTTTCAAAAAACGGATATAAAGATAAAAGTGACGGAGGGAGTGGAGTATTAAATATATTTATAAATACTCCTTTTTAATACATAGTATATTAAAAAGATAAACAAATTAAAATTGAAAAAGTTATATATAACTGCTAAAGGATATTTTTAGTGTTAAAGGGTATACGACCCTAAATTTAGAAATTTTATAAAAAATCAGTTATAAATAAAAATTCCAGCAATAAAAATATTTTTATTACTTCTTAAAATTTCTTAAATATTCATTGAAAAATTCTTTGATTATATAGTATTTATAGATAAATTTATTTTTATAAGAGTTCTATCAATTATGAATATCCTAATGAAAGATAATAAATCTAAATATTTTTTTTATATATATATATAAAAGAGAATCCTAAACTCGTCTACGTGACGCCACCACAAATAAGGATTCCCTTTTAATTTGTTTATTTCCAAAACTAGCCTTCCCTTTATGAAAAGTTGTGACTTTCATGAAAAATTGTGACTTTTATGAAAAGTTGCGACTTTTACGAAGAGTTGCGACTTTTACGCAATGTTGTGACGTTTATGAAAGGTTGTGATCTTTCCGAAGGGTTGTGACTTTTCCAAAGAGTTGTGACATTTCTGATAAGGCACAATAGACATTTGTTTACACTACCCATTGTTGTCTATAAATTGAGGGATTTCCTCTCATTTCAAAACAACGAAATTTCAAAACCTCTTCTTCTTCTTCTTCTTATGCACAATTAATATTCGTGTACATTGCTCCCGTTGAGTGGCTTACTGACACCATTATTTTTGTATCAATACGTTGGTGAATAAAATCGTTCCATCTTGAGAGGATCTAATTCTTTAAACCTCAGGCATTAGAGGGTAATAATTTTCTTAAGGGGACAATGTGCATTCAATGGACTCGATTTTTTCGTTTTATTTCATTATACTTTTACATATCATGGTATGTTTTTTTTTACAGTCATTAGATATTAATTGTTGTTTTTGAGTACATGTTTTAAACTCTGTTGTTTATGTTGCTGCAAAGTTATTGTCTCCGATTATATTAAACATATACACATATAGTAGGTATATTCATTGTGTAGAAAAGAATTATAGTACTCAGTTTCAAAGTTCATGTTTTGATATTCTATATAAAATTCTATAACTTAAAAGTACTACATATACACTTACATATTATCTATTTTTACATAGATATGAAGTTTCTCACTTATCAATTGAAGAAATTCATTATGCAAGTTCAAAAGTTATAATTGCTTTCATATTCAAGTGTAATTTTTTTTGGAACCTGTTAACAAATTTTTGAATTTTTTCCTGAGACATATATCACAATTGTATAATCTATGCAACTTAAATGTGTTCTTTTTCTTACGAAATGCCTTTGTATATATATATATATATATTCTTATTTTCTTCTTTATTTTCCTTTTAATGTTGATTAAAGAACCAATGATTTATTATTTTCTGAATAATTCATTCATTAGAGGTTCTTGGGTTATGTAATAATGACAAATAATCAAATTTATGTTGGAATATGTTATGAATATAACTTAGCTGGATGACCTATGTGAGAAGATGTCAAATTACATTTGGGGCCCTAGGAAGATTCCTATATATATAAGAGGGAAATACTCAATTAGGGTTATGCTATGAACTTGTCTCTTATTTCTTAGTTTCTTAGGTTAATCTGGAACCTCCCCCATTCTTTCTTTTTATTTCTACTTCTTCCTTTGGAAGTATTGGTTACTAGTTTGAGAATGATGAAATCTTATAATTGTACGTGTAATTCCAATTATCCATTTGAATACAATATGAATTCATTACAAAATATTGCTAATATTTTTTTAAGAACCTATTTTATCCATTAATTTTAATGTATGGATATTATTAAATGACTATTTGCCAGTTTAATACAATTATTATTTATGACCGCGCGAAGCGCAGACAAATTACCTAGTTATGATATATTTAAAAATTAATATATGGCTAATATCAAAGTACAAACATAATTAGATTAAAATAATTTGGATTATGTGGGCTCCCCCACCTTCACGTGGAATGGTGGATAAGGAAAGCAAAATGACTTAAAATTTTGCCACATATTATAAAATGTTAAATGAATATAAATCTTTAAAAAAAAATGGTAAAATTCACATGAGTACAAAATAATTTTATTGAAATATCAATGTTCATTATGTTAAATTTATAAGATTAAAGGTTATAGTCAAACTGAATACAAAACAAAATATTTACAAAGTAGATAGTTAACTTCGAATCTGAAAAATTATAACAGTATAATTGTAACTTCGATCTGAATACAAAATAAATTATTTACAAAAGTATACAAGCCCAAATTTGAAATAACATATCTAAACATTGAAATTATAGACTAATTAAAAATGTATTAACCAATTAGATTATAATTAATATTTTTTTTTATCATCCATAGCTCTGATACCATTTTTCGGTGCGAAATTCATCTTATTGGTAGGTGAGGGCATTTTTTGGTAGTGTGGTAGGTGGTAGTGTGGTAGGTGAGGAATTTATTTTAAAAATTTTATTATAATATTCTTTGATTTGGGTTCTGTTTGACTTTTTTTCTTTTAATACCAAATCAAACCAAGAGTGGTCATTTTTTTTCAACGCCAAACCAACCAAACCAAATCACAAATTATTTTTTTCCAGTTTGACTTGATTTGTCGGTTTGATTTGACTTGTACAACCCTAGAATAACAATACAATAAATACAGTATTATTGTATATATTTAGGGGTGTGCAAGAATTGAACCGATCGATAAATTAAATCGAGAAAGTGCTATTGATTTTTTGTTATTGGAATATTGGGGTAACGTTTTTTAATGGTTTTATATTAAAAAAATTATTTGACTATCAATTCGGGTTTGATTTTTTAATATTGAGTTATTGAGTAAACCAATAACCCATTAGAACGGTAGTAATTTACTACTTTATCCATACATAAATATTAAATATTAATCACAGTACCTTATTGGTTAGTGCCGTTGCTCTTTAGCCTTCAATTAATACTTTACAACAACTTTGAGTTGATAACTTTACATTATACAAAACGTCAAAATGTAAAGTAAGAATCCAATTCTTCTTAATTTCTCTTTATGTTACACTTGTACAGTTTTTTTTCATGTTAGTTATTACTGGTTTTACTTTCCGAGCATTTGTAAAGATATATTATTGTCTTGTCGCGTCAAAACTGTTAGAGAAGTCATATGTTTATTTTATAAGTATTTTCTTATTAGTTAAACCAAAAACTAAACTGTTAAGGATCAAAATTGATAAATCAAAACAAATAAAAAATATATTATTGATTTGATTATTCATTTAAAATATTTAAAAACTGAAAGCCGATAAACTGAAGCGATAATACATAAAATTGAATCAAATTGAAGCACACGCCTATATATTGTAATCATTAATGGAACAAAATGATATCCAATTGCAATTTGCAATTCAATAAATAATGCAACCACCAAAATCTTCTACATTAAGTTTTTTTAATTTTTCCGATTGCAATCCAATTTTAATTTCTTTCTTTTTAGTAAATATATCAGTGTAAGAGTGTTTCCAAAAAGTCAATTAGTTGTGGCAAAGCTGTTGATTGCTCTACCTATCACTCGACAATCTAACCCTCTCTTAGTTAATAACTAGAAAGGCAAGCCCGTGCTAAGCACATACCTAACATATATTTTTATAAATAAAATTTTATAAAATTTATACAGTTGTATAACCAGAAAATGAAGGGAATCAAATCAACTTACTCAAGTTGAATGTATGTTTTAGTGAAAGTGATGAAGTTGGAGTAGTGACTTAGCTAAATCAGAGTAACTGATAATTAGTGCTAATATTAGTTAGTTAACAGTAGAAGATTCCTAACAGATTTAGTTAGTATGTTAGTTAGTTAATGGTGTACAACTGTCAGTAGGAGCAAAACTAGATGTGTATATAATGGAGAACGTGTAGTGTATTCTCCAAGTAATTCAATTCATCATGTACTGATTTCTCTTCTACCAGAAATGAAGATATTTCTTTTTGTTCTCTAGCACTTCCTTTCCATACATTGTTGTTATCTGTATTTCCTGTTTTGTTTCATGGTATCAAAGCTTTGCGGCAATTAATATGGTCAAGATTAGGTGCGTAAACATGTGAAGAGCTGGAGAATCAATGGCAATTGTGGTTGATAATGATTTGTCTAAAAAATTGAGTCACAATCATTCATTGCATTTGAACACTTTGGATACATCTGGAGTAGTTTTAGTTTCTATTCAATTGACCGAATTAGAAAATTATTCTGTGTGGAGTCAGTCAATCAGAATTGCCATACTTGGACGAAACAAGTTGGGGTTATTCGATGGAAAATACAAAAAAGAAAATTTTGTTTCAAATCTGAAGGATCTATGGGAATATTGCAATGTAATAGTGCTCTCATGGATCATGCATTGTGTTTCAAAGGAATTGCTGAGTGACATCGTGTATTCATCTGATGCTTGTGTAGTATGGAATGACCTTAAAGAGAGATTATGTTTAAAGATCTTCCAACTACATAGAGAAATTATGACTCTGTCTCAAGGAAAAAGTAGCATTTTTGAGTATTTCACGATGTTGCTATTGCGTTGGGCATAGTTTGATTTCTTAGCTCCATTTCCTAAATTTAATTATGAAGGTT